CGGTTTCAAGCTTTCCAGACGCCAGACACTCCAAACAGACCCCCCCCCAGAGGATTCGGGTCCAGGGTCGCGTCTGGGTACATGGCGACTTTGGGGTTTCAAGTTGAAACCGTTTGGGTTTCTCCTTCGTTTGGGGTGCCAGCTTTTTGGTCCAAGGCGATTGAATGATACCAGGTGAATGACACCAGGTTGGGAGGACCAGCCCCAAAAGGGAATACCAACTCTTCTTCACAATGTGGACCTTCGGAGGGGTCCCAGAAACGAAGAAGAAGCTTCAAAGGGCTGAGACGTGACGTGACCAAACCAGCCTCTCAAGAATGGGACCCTCCAAAGAATGGGACCCTCAAGGTGGGTCTAAGTGACTTTACAAAGTTCTTGACCCTCTAAAGTCACTTAGAAGAACTAGGTGAGGAGCTTAGTTGGGTCACTTTAGTCTCTAAAGTTCGAAAAGTCTCAAGTTGTGTCACTTTGAAGAACCAGAAAAAGGAGCTTGAAGAACCCCTTCATGGTCCATCCATCAGTTTTGGGACTGCAGTGCAGGATCCTCTCTCCGGTGGATCTCACGGCGAGTTCGTCGATGCTTGATGGATCTCGGGGATCAATCCTACAAGGTACTGAAACGCTGGCTGAATTCGACTGATTCATTGGGCTCCAAAAAACCTTCTGCTTGATGTGATTATTGGAGACCAAGGTGACCACCATGTGACCTCTAAACCGGTCACGACCCCTGTGACGTCGACCTGGTTTCCCCAGGATGGGTTCACCCGAACACGCATGAATCACGGTGTTTCTTCGTGAAAACGTGCCTGCCAGGAGTCGGCTCAGGCAACTGAGTGGCGGCCAGGAGAGAGTCTCACAGGAGCTCCTCTGCCACGTGCTGGCCGAGGCCGACGGGGTAGAGCGATCGGGGGTGAAGTCGGAGGCACGGCGGCCTAAAGGAATACAGGTTTGAACCTTGGCAAGCTGGTGGGAGGATCCAAGCAGTGTTTTGGGAGACCGGATGACTGCTGAAGAGCTTGGTCAACTTCAGAACAGTCATGGCGCTGCCAGGCATGTTGGTGACAAACAAAAGACCTTTTCCAGACGCACTGCCTCTCGCACATCTCCCACCCCCCAAACGTGCTGCAGACATCTGCAGACCATACCAGGACCTTCCACCAAGTCCGGTGGTATTTGGACACCCGGAATCACCACGTGGCGAGGCTATTTATGGACACCTCTTGATGTCGGTCCTGGTACCGCGGGAAGGAACCTTCACACAGATCGGCCGCGGCACAGGTGTGCGGCGAGTTGGACTGGCTCGGGTGCCCGGCCCATTTCGGCCGTCCAAAAGGGCCGTTTTGGTTCAAAGGACCCGCTGGTCCTCACAGAGGATGTGGATCGTGTGGATGTGGCGAAAAAGGAAGGCACCTGAGAGGAATTCATTCAGTTCGTGACTGTGCAGTGACCTTTGACAGGCCTATATAAGTGACCTCAAGCCCCAGGGATGAAAAGGTCACTTTGAGGAACCAGCTAAGAGGAATTCATTCAGAGTTGGGAATGCTGATTTGACCAGATCCCGCAAAAGGCTGCCCAAGCATGCTTGTTGGGTGAGAACAACACAAAAGTTGTCTGGTCCTCTTTTCTCGATGCACCGAAGGGGTCTTGGTAGTGCTGTAGCAAGCATTCCCCTCCGATGCTTCGATCTACATTCATGTAGACTGTTGACTGTTGAGGTTTCTCCACCAGGTCACCATCACCAATTGAGACTTCTTAGGGTGCAACAACAACTAACAGCCTGTTGGAGGGTGCTGGCATGTGAAGTTGTCTGGTGGAGTTGAAGCATCCGTCGAGGCCTCAGATCCTCTCCCGGGCGGCTCCCTTCTTGGGAGACGAAGTCACCTACAGTCCGGGCACGAAGCGACACGAAGCGACACGAAGCTGGAAGAGGTGGGTTTATGAGCAGTTTTAAGAGGTCGGTGGATAGAAGTCAGGATTATTTGGGCTGCTTGCAGTGGCCTGCAGCAAGGGATTGAGGAGGCTTTTGCTTATATTCCTTAGGTTTCCCACCCAGAGCAGCTACCATATCCATACATATTTCTACAGTATACAAGTAATACCGATATGAGTGCAGCTTGAACCGGTAGACTTCCCAACCCGAGGTTTTTGTTGGATTCGTTTCTGCTTTGACCAAGGGTCGAAGCCTTCCTATTCCAAGGGGTACATCCCAAAGGACCACTCAATATGACAGTGGTATTTCATTGGCCACAGACTTCCCCCACTTTCCTGCCACGCATCTAGGTGAGTTCCTAGCTGCGCCCAGCGTGAGGCGCGGGGCGGTTCGCCCGGCTTGAAGAACGGACACCCACGCTGCGGGACAGAGGGTTCACCGCCCTTCCCCCCGCTGATAGACCCGGGTTCAGCACTTGGACCAGTTCGCCCCGGCTCGAAGAGCATCACCATCCTGACGGACCATCCGAAGGACCATGGGGACCAGCTGGCTGGTGGAACTCCCATGTGAAGGTATGAAAAGGGGAGTAGGAGGAACATCGAAGTGAAGGTATATACCCTAACCTTCTCAGAAGGTACTTGGACCCTCCAAACCTCCATAACAGTGCCTCCAATCACCTTCTGAGAAGGTACTTGGATCCCTAGGGATATTTGCTGGAGGAACAAGGATTGTCACGTTCATGTGCCACTGAATCCCTTCTTTGGCCGGGCGATGTGGCGGTGGTTGAAGGGTTGAACACAGCCACATCAGGGAGTGGACATGTTTTTCATCCGTGGCATTTTGGGAAGGTTCATCGGTTGAACGTTTTGGAAGCTCGGTTATCAAGAGGTAGCATGATAGACTATCCCTCTCTCCCCTCACATACAGGTGGCACCCAAAGGTAAATACAGTAATTCAGAAGCCAGTCACAAGCCCAGACACCCGTGCCCCTGATAACCCGAATCTCTATGAATCCTTGCAGAAGGCCAAGTGTGTTCACGTCCCAATGGTTCCAAACCACCCCGAACCCTGTAGAAAATGGAATCTTATTCTGGACAAATCCCAAAGACCCTCATGTTCCATCTCTTTCTGGGTCGTTCTCCCCCACTCCAGCCCAGACCACGAACCCTCGCCCAGCTGGGCGCCGGCTCGCCCTCGCCCGGCCGGCAGGTGGTTCCATCAGGGCGCCGCACAGCTGGTCACCGTCGCCCGTGCCACCGCACAGGCCGACCGACGACCCCCCCCGACCTCGGAGCGACGACGGCCGAACGGTCGAGTGGTGGGCGCGGTCGAAGCGGCCGTCGAAGCGGGGTGCGGCCGTTAATCAATTGGTGGAGGAACGGCGAGGGCGGAGGAAAAGCATGCCAGTCAGAGAGTCGTTGAAAGTGCTGAGGTCAGGTGAGTTTCGCTAGATCATGGGAACACCATGGGGTTGGACATATTCTTCAGTGGATTGAGAGTAGATGGCACAAGTTACTCCAAGTTTGGTGGTTTACATGGAGCCCCCATCTGTCGGATAGACATCTCTATCGGTGCCAGTGCCATCTACTCGCCTCGGTTTCACCACCTTTCCAGGACCGATCTTCCAAGTCCGGTGGTTCTCCGGACACCTCTTCATTCATCTCCAGTTGAGGCTATAACCAGACACCTCAAACGGTGTCGGTCCTGCTAGGACGATGGGACCTGGCTGACTGAAGCCTGGCCTGGCGGTCGAACTGTGCGGTCCGGTCCCGTGCTGCGAACGGTGCGGTTCCCGTGCTCGGAGGGTCGGAGGTTCTGTTTCTGGCCAAGAGGTGTTTTCTTTTTTTTTCATGTGTTATTCTGTCTTAGAATGAGGTCTATGCAGGTCTATGCAGGTCTATGGGAATTTGCACGTGAAGAAGATTGGCACAAGGGGACAGGTGAAGAAGGCAACAATCACATTTGAGGTTGATGCTGATACCCCTTAGACCCATCCTTACCGGCTTGGTGACACGGTATGAATTCAGGGTAAGGGCCAGGGGTAAGGGGCAGCTTGAGAGTCTCCCCATGTTGGTTTGGGCTTCCCCAGGCGGAGCTGCGCTTGTCTGGCCTGGCGGCACTCTTTGACAGTGCCTGGGCGGCACGCTGTGGTGGGCGGCACGGCCATCTCCAGAACTCTTGGACGGGTGACTTTGGGTTGTATGCGATCAAAGGAAATCGATCAAGGGGAGATGCTACTATAAACGAAATCTATATTGAAACACGCGACCTATTATTTACCTGCCTGGTCACTGGTGACCTTGAAAGCATCAATGTCTTATCTATCTTATCTTGGGATGATTCAGTGCTATAAGGCTATCATGCATTTAATACATGATCTCAGCATCGGTCCTTGTTCTTCAGCTGACCCCGCTAGCCTGGTGCTCGATCCATGCTCCGGGGGCACGGATCGGACGGAGATCGCGACCGGGAAGACGGTGAAGACGGGGGTGCAGACGAGACATGGATGTGTTGGATGTGCTGTGGATGTGCCACTGAATATCTTCAAGGATATCGGAGAGTGTTGAAGATTTGGATGGGCCAATCGACATGGAATCTTCACCAACATTAGGGACTGTTGGGACCTGTTCTTTCAGGTCTTTTTTCCCTCTCAGTTTCGGCCAATTCAGCTGCTGACTCACCAGGGTTAACACCCCGTGAACCAGTTGGTCTTTTGGTGTTGGTTGGAAGACCTGGTGGTCCCTCTCAAAAGGTGAACATCTCTCCAGTCTCCCACCCCGATGACGACCCGATGTTTGGCCCCGGCCAAGGTCCGAATGGCATGGTGACGCCTCAATTGGCCCATGAAGCCTTGGGTCAACTGCTTCCCTCCCTGTCTCTCGGTCGAATCCAGAAAAAGACGGTGGATGGCTCGGTGGAGGGCTCGGTGGACGGCTCGGTGGATGGTATACTCTGTAGACTCAGCTTCCGAACCGTTCTCTGTCCCGGAAGGGTTTGGCCCGAGTTCTGCGGTGCACCTTCGACCGACTCCATCCGCTGCACTCGGGTGCACGACTTTCGACCGCTTCGACCGACCGAGACACCGCCTTCGGACCGGCGGGGCCGAGCGGGAGCGGAGGAGTGACATCCTCGGAAGCAGCTAAGTTATAAGCTTCGAAACCCAGCGACCTGGGGAGGGTGTTGGAATCGAAAAGTGCAGGGATGAGGAGTCAGTCTAAAACAGCACGTCTGAACTAAGCAGCCAGACAGTGGACATGAAGAGGTGTGCATTCCTAAATGGGATATTCAATGGGTTTGCATGGATTTGTTTTCACCCTTAGAGGAGGCGCGCACACACACACACACACTGAATGCATCATGAATGCATAATATTGCCTATTACTGCTCGAATTTCTCAGGATCACATGTTCCACAGAGTCCACAGAGAGAACTGTTGATGTTTCACGGTCTTGAAGGAGTAAAAAAGGAAGGATCCCAACGCCTTTTAGAACCCTTCCAAACACCAAACGTCTCACATGTTTCGGGGTGTTTGTGTCCTTTTTTTTTTTTTGGAACCATCTCATCTCATTCCAGTGATCTGAGTGGATCTTGATCTTCGGCACCGTCTTCGGCACCGACTCCACGGCACCGGGGTCCGCGGGACATCGAGTCCGGTCCGGGCTCGCTGCCTGGTCGCAGCAGAGTGGGGCGCAGCGCTTGCGCAGCTTCACACGAAGGGACGAACACATCACCGAAGTGGAGAACCTCACCCTGTTCGTATCCGGGAAAGTAGTCTGACTCAGTCGGGGCCCAGGCCATCCATATTGCACATGTGATGTGTCGTCCGCTCGTGGTCACACTGTGGGCCATTCATTTAGCGCCGAGAGTCTCGATCGAAGAACAAATCGGAATCTCCGCCTGCTTTCAAGGCGGAAGCGTCAGAGAAGACAGCTGGCTGCCAGCCTCTTCGGAGAGGTGCCAGCCTCTTCGGTTTGGCCACGGAGAACGATGGGGGGTGAGTTGACTCTCGCAAACCTCCAATACAAAAACAGAAACTGTTCCTCTCTGAAAAAACACGGCTGGTCTTGGTAGATCGTCGGCCACTTTCATGCGATTTAGTTCAAACCCGTTTTTCTCTTTCTTTCTCCACTCGAAGCTTGCAGAGCCTGGCGAGCCAGGAGACGACACAGCTCAGTGCGGTCTTACACCAGCCGGAGGGCTCGGCCCTGTTCGCGCCGGTTGAAGGGCCGAACCGGCTGCCCAGCTGGCTGGTCCAAGCTTCTGTCATCAGGTCGTGTTGGTCGTGTTGTCTAGAAAAACCCGCCTTGCTGGGTCAAGTGAGACCCTCCAACAGGGCCCCCCTAACCATACGAGCCTCCATTTTGGAGACACGTGTAAAGTCAGGTTGCTGGTATAGGTGGGTTCTAGACATCAGTGATTTCAAGGCTTCGCTGTCGGCCCACAGGCTGATTGACCCCCCCCCCCCGCACCATGGACACCCGCGGAGGTGGGCTGGACAACCGGCTAACCTGCACACGCGGTCGGCGCCGAGGTTGGCACTCTTCGCTGATCCACCACAGTTCCCGGAGCCACGCCCTCGGCCCGACGACGTGTGACTTCTCGTGGTGACATTGCCTGCGAGGAAACTTTGGAGGGCTTTGGAATCTACCTCTTTTTCCCAGGTGCTTTAAGCTATAAGAAGATGTTGAGACATGTCAAGAGGAAAGACACGTTCGTAGAACGTGGGCGTCCAAGCGTTTCGAACGATACACAACATGTTGCTTTTCCGTGTCGCCGGGGCCGAGGCTTGGGGCCAGTTTCTGGGTTTGGATGTTTTCGGGTCAAGTGTGCTGCGCAGTATCTTGGCCCCGTGTTCGAAGTAAACAAACTTCGCTTGCTAGAATATCATAAGCATCTCCGTCAGGTTTGTAAGGCGCAATTGCCTGATTTAACACCTCAACGGTTTTCCAACATGAACAGCCTGAGAAACCAAAGACAATTACTTACAGGCTGTCAACGTTCATACAATAATGCATTGTGAGAGCCTATGACAAGGATTTAAGCCTTGTTTATTGAGATTTAAGGACATAGCGACATAGCGGCGCTCATTTCCCAGGATTCTTTGTACAAAACCTGTTTCCAACAAAAGTTTCTATTCCATTGCATATTAGATTGTTTACTTTTATTTGCAAAACAGTTTTAACGTGATCAACCATAATCTAATAATTTACAATATTGCACACTATCCATTTCATTGCAAACGTATTGATTGGATTTGAGGGATTGTGATATGGAGGGCTTGAAATGGACCATGTGTCGGATTCGAGCACTTCTATTTCGAGCTGAGCAGGACTGACACACGTGACCCACGTGAGTGCTTGGGGTGAACCGGGGTCGATCCTCACGACCGTGAAGGAACACCAGAAGAGTGTGTGTTGTTGTTCCTTTATTGTATATTATATATCAATATATTTTTGTACCTGGACCTTCCAAGGGGTGTCCAATGGAGATCTCTCAGTAGTGTGTGGGCTTCCAGCCAGGTGATCCCGAACGGAAGGTGCTGGTATATATGTTTTAAAACAGCATTGATGATCAATATATATGTTCATTCTCTCAACACAGCTCAGCTTCGAAACGAAAAACTTACCTGGGGCTGAAGTCAACGTCTTCTCATGAGCAGACTCCCCCCTTCTTACGGCCTGGGGAGTCGTTTCCATTGGGCCAGAGCCTCACATGAGTTGGGAATGAGGCCCTGGATGAAGCGTGGAGCTCAGATGGGGAGGTGACAGATCATGCATTAAACATACTTAATGACTTCATACTTTAAAAACAAATAGTGTACACGACTATAATTTACATATGCCGCATCATATGGCATAATCATTAGCAACATTGACTGCTCTGCATGGATGGGTGGATACATTCCTACACCTCCGACAGACCCGAGACGACCTGGGGAAAGTGGGCCGGGGGGGCAACAGGTGGCCTCGAGACGACCTGGTGAATGAACCGAGCATCCACGGGACTGGAAGAATTAAGCCACCATGGATGGGTCATTCTCATGGGGTAAGTGCATGTGTACAACCATTACATACATGGATGGTTTGGGTATAGTCTCAATGTTCATTTGGGTGTGGGAAGCCGATCTCCACAAAGTCCTGGCCACTTGAGAAGCTCTTTTTGATGCTTTTTGGTGGCCAGAAAGAAAGACCATCAATGTGTCTGTCGCTGAAACGCGCGAAACTCACGAAACGGCACAACGACAACTGCGTCTCGGCGTCCTTTTCAACGCTCCAAGGACTGCCCTGGGGCGTATTGGAGATTTGGTGGGGACACCTGGTGCCCATGTTTTTTGTTTTTGTTTTCAGGGAACATCTACAGGACACCTGTAGGAATTGGTGGGTGAAGAAGAAACAAAAACATAAGAGGCATCCTGTAGATGTTCCCTTCAATCAATTCTGGGACAGACAACGACGGCTCGACTTGTTTCGATCCAACCTTCTTAGCGCGTGGTCTCAATTTTTTTTGGGGTTCACTTTTATAGATGTTACTTTCTAATGTTCCAATACTTGCTGGCTATTGAGTGATCCTTGTTTTTTTTACATCGAGGAAATGACAAATGATGTGCATTCACTCCAAGTCAGCTTGGGATGTTTCTTCATCTTGATCACCAGGAAGTCTTCCTCTACAAGACCCGAAGCGGGACATCTACAAGATCTAAAGATCGTTTCGCTTTTTCCTCCCATTTCTGCGGGTTCGACTGGGCCAGTTGACTGGTTGACCGGTACGTGACCGGTGTTCGATTGAGAACGACGCCTTTCTCCACGGAGAAACTTCTGAAAGACGTTGGTGCCAAGGGTCCAAAGAAGAGGAACAGATACAAAAAGAGATCTACGCCCTGGAAGATTGACATACAGAACCCAGCAAGACCACGTCGGGTTGGGGGATGCATGAGTCTTCCAGTCTGGGCGGCATCAGGTTCCGCTCTCGGAACCGGGGTGTATATATAGAGGCGGTCTAAAGAGATTCAGATGACATCTCTTTTACGTAAAAGCACGTGGTGGACCTAAAGACCTAAAAGTCCAACAAGACGTGAATATGTTTCTTTTGTAAACACAATGACATTTTCGATCTCCACCTCAAGAAGGGGTCACTCCAAATCGACGAAACGATCACGAACAGTGCAACAGGGGTGCCCCTGACAGTCTCAAGGTGAAAAAATCATTCCTCATTCTGCAAAAACCAAGAAACCAAAACAACCCACCCAGCTGTCAAAGAAAACAACCCACCATCACTTGGACGCTCTCCGCCAGCTGTCGCGACTCACTGCCGAACACCATCGCCTCTCCACGCATGTGTTCGGAACTGGCAGATTCTCCAGCGACATGGCCCCCCGCTGCACTCCGCGCTGATCCAGCCTGGTCCTCGGTAGCTGCAGCCTGGTCCTGCGCGTGTGCCGTGCGATTTGGAGACCAAACGACATCCGGACCCTCCGAGATGCACGTTTTTGGTGGTACGACGGCACCTGGCATGGTGTTTTCATGTGTTTTCTGTCATCCAGGATCACCCATGTTTTTTGATGTTTTTTGGTACAAGCAGAGGCACGCCAAATAACGTTGATGGTATGTGATGGTCCCAACATAACGTTTGTCGGAAGGCCCTGGTTTATTGAGATCATAACGGGTATATTGACGAGGAGGGCGGCCTCTGAAATCTGGCGAGACTCAGCAATCACACCAATGATAATACCCTGATTTGGATGGTCATAATTTCCCAGACTGATGTCAACCACACAACCCTCACTCAATTGCTTCAATTTCTAAAAGAATTCAATAGAAACCATCAACAAAGACCACAGCAGCTGATACTCCTTTCACCCCTTTCTTCCACATGCTTTCTTCGAACGGTCGCACGGTCGCGTGACCCACGACGTCCCCGCGACCCACGAAAACGATCCTCGCTGTGGCGAGTCTCGCCGGTCGACCCGAGGTTCTTTAAGGCCACCGCCCAAGATGGATCCGACCTCGTTGGGCCCAAGGACCGGAGGCCAAACGGACGGGTCTTCCCCGAACGGGATAGGCTGGGACGGTCGGACGGAGGACGCGAAGGAGTTGAACGAGTTACTTGAGTCTTTTTTGGGCTCCATTGGAGGGAGCCAGACTGGTTTCTTTATTAAGTTCTTCTCTTTTCGGACAGCTTGACTCTGGGTGCCAAGAGTCTATTTAAGTCATTCATAGACATGTTGATTTCCACCAAGACAGACCGAAGTCCTGCACAGTCCATTCGCTCTATGACTTGGCTCCAACGATCTCCAACCTCATCCTTTCGGGCTTCCCGACCTCCGACACGCCGTTTTCGGGCGCCTCGAATCGGGCGAAGGGGCTTCGGGGGCTTCAGGACTTTGTCGAAGGTCTTCAACAGATGGGCACCTACGACTGCAGCGGAGATCTGGAGGTGCGAAGGGCCGTCGCGTTCTTCACGCCGTTTTGAACCGCTGCCGAAAAAACGCGGTCCTCAAAGGTCCCCGCACGGAGGTCCGAGCCTAGGCGAAGGCGAAAAGGCGAGCAGACAAAAAGAGGAGGCCTTTAGCACTATAAACAAAACAAGGATGTTTGAAACATAGCTGCAAAACAAGGATGTATAGCCTAGCAACAAAAATGGAAAAGATTAACTATTGAACAAGGATGTTTAGCAACACAAAAGGAACAAAGCTGCATGGAGAATTCATGTCCATGAATCTCTTTTCCACAATTGTTCACGATATTTCTGTCGGTCTGTCGGTTGCGAAGCCCGTCTGCTGGATCATTCGGGTGTGGATCAAGCCGCTGACGCTTTGAAGCCCCAACATTTGGTTTATAATGACTGTAACATTAGAGCTAGACATCTTTGGGTTTTTGCCATTTGATTACTCTATTCTGAAACTTCAGCACTCTTTTTGGGTGCTGACTTTGGTGAACCTGACAAGTTCTTGATGAAGCACCACAATTAGCTATATACTGCTACAGCATGCTACAGCTACTGAACATATATCCTGTGATGCACGTGAAGTAAACTCCGACAGTTTGATATTTGATGTTTCAGAGTGTCTCGCATGAGACGATCGGAGTTGATGGCCAGCCCTGATTGGAGGACTTGATTCATATACAGCCTACAGCGTTGCTCGAAAAAGTAAGGAACAAGATTTCATCATACTCCTATGTCATCGTATACGTCCTATTGGTTCTCCAGTTCATGCTCCCTTCATCGCCAGAATGACGATGATATATATATATATATATATCTGAAGTGTTCATGAATCGGCTGCCCTCCCCTCAGAAAGGCCATTAGATGATTTCCCCAGCGACGCCTGCGGCCATTGGCTTGTTGAACATGGTGCCAGAATGCTTCAGATCTGATGAGAATTCCGCCCAACCAGAGCACTATCACACTCTGACACACACACACACACACACACACACACACTACTGAGTACCCCGTGCCATCTGAGATGTGCCATACGTGTTGCTTCTCACTGCTGTTCGGTGGTTTTGCTTCACCCAAACCGATCGCCCCACGCCCCCACGCCCCTCGTTCGTCGTTCACCGTCGTCAGGTGCCCTTGCTCCACGCGGGTCGTCTCTACCAGATCTTCGAGGCCCAGCGCCCGGTGTCCGAAGGTCGAAAGGTGTGGTGGAAAGAGCTGGACCGGAGGTGCTGCGGATGAAGTCGCTGAAGTATATCATATCATGAATGTAGTTTTATAGATGTTCCTCAAGGGGTTCTTAGATTTCTTCTCTAGCTCCCCATACTGTAACCTTCTCAGGTGCTCAATTGTGTAGATCTCGGTGGTCGCCGTATCATTAAAAAACGTGCAACTGCGTCGGATTGCAAACATGGAAGATATGTTTGTCAAAGTCTGACCAAAATACATAATTTTCTGCATAGTCTTGGGTGCAACAAATCAACACTGGGTGGGACCCCTGGTGTAATCAGGCGGTACTTCGGAGGGCGGTTTCTCCAACGAAAGTGAGGGCCCGCTGGAGCTCGAACATCGCCCGTTGCTTCCCGTCCAGCATGCTCCCGCGCGTGGAGCGTGCTCTCCCACCCTGCTTGAGGTCTTCTATTTTGGATTCGTCAGAATCCAGGCTAATAAGATGATGCCCCAAATGCGCCATCCTAGCACCTGAAACCAAACCAGCGCTTCCTCCCAATGCTTCCTCCACCGCGTCTTCTCCGCGGCTTCCATCGATGGAACTCGACCGTGCGGAGGCCATTGATGGAAACTGCTCGGGGACGATCTCCTTTTTGGAGCGGTGACCGTGCGAGACGCGGTACACACCGCCGCGATGGCCGCTCGCTGCGAGAGATGTTGGCGAGCGCCGCATGAAAGCGGTAGATGTTAGGTCTTCCGGTGAAGCGTGTTAGTTAGGTACTTTCCGAATCCACAGCGCAGGGAAACTCGTTTGGTCAAGTTTGTTGTTACTTTTATATGGTTTTTGGAGAACTAGGGTGATGGAAGACAACATTTGAGACACCCAAGTACATCTTACATCATTGAATCATTTTACATCATGTATACCAGGACTTTTCTTGGACGATCAGACGAACGCCTCACGCTGTTGAAGTCGCTCTTTTTTTTTGGCTTTGAAGTTGTTCAGACCCTGTACTCGCGAAAACGTGGAGATGCGGGAAGAAGGAATCTCTGCACATCACACTTTAACCAAAGTGTCTTGGACTAGACTCTTCCTTGGTAAAGTAAAGGAAGTCCCTTTCAGGTTCCCTAGTCAGACAATTCATTTTATATATTGTCTTTGGACTTCTAGCGTTGATTTACTTCTTTGGACTTCTAGTAGACTTCATCCGCAGATCTTGTTTGTTACATCCACATCTTTCATTGGATTGTTCATGGGGGGCCAAGCAGCTAAACATGCGTCCAGCCGCACTGGGAGTGCCCTCCCAGGTCTGTGTGACGAACGAACATGAACATGATGTCACATGATGGTACCTCCCCAATCATGAGGGACCGACTTCAAAGCTTGTGGATCAAACGGTCCCTACCAGACGTTCCCATAGGCCGCAGTTAGCCGCAGTCATGTCAGGTTGTGGTGTTGTGGGTTTCAGATGTTTGTACGTTCAACCTCTATTGAGGCTGATTGGTCCTAGTTATATATCCCAAAGGAGTTGAAACCACCAACCAGATCATTGAGGTGCCATCAAATACCTAACAGTCGACATGGATAGATTCCGCTGGGCACGTGAACGCGCCCAGCCAGGATGCGAGTGCCATGGCCTTTCTAGATTCTCATCTAGTGTCCAGAATTGTCATGCAAGTCCATCTGCGTCTGAAGTGCTGTCTTTGCATAATAGATATGGAAAAAAAAAACAGGAAACAACACATGCCAACAGAACCAAAGACTTTGCAGTGGTTCTTTACATCGTGGTGGTTCTGTACATCTTTACATCGCTGTGGTCGATGTGCTGATGGCAAGCATCTCCCCTCGGGATGACCTGGTCGACAGTGGCCTTCTTCAGGGATGCGGTGGAGGGCGTGTCGCGTGGACGCGTGCGAACGTCGAGGGGCCGCATCATTTGCAGGAGCTGCTCTTGGCCATGGATGAGCGCTCTGCGAGGCAGATAAGGAGTCAAGGATGAAGTCAGGAGGATGAGGTCCTGAAAATACATGTAACTTTGTGCAAGAAAACACCAGAAGCCAATCACAACAGGAAGGTTGGAACTTCTGGAAGAAATGGGTTCCCTTTTCAAGCCAAGCGGTCCTGTTTGGCTTGACCCACATTCCATGAAGCCTGGATGGTGTCAGGCCACCTATTCCCATCACTAGCCTGGCGTGTTTCAGAGATGCTCTCGCCCAGTCGAATCCGGCAGCGATTTTTGTTTGGGTGAGACTGTTGTTGTTCAAATAGATGTCGTGGCACGGTTTCCAATACATTCTGCACGTGGGGGATCCACTGTCCTTCTATCTATGACTGGGGGTCACTGTGGACAGCTTGAGGCCTTGGAAATCACAGATGCTCAGTCGCACTCGGTTTACAAGACGTCCTTGTTGCGAAGCCCAACGTCACAAGATTTGTGACTTTGACTTTACAGTAAACGCCGGCCCATCCCTCAGTTAGTGCAATAACACAAAGAAAAGCCTTGGGAGCTAGGACATCATGAGACCTACCTGGCAGCTATTTGCACTCATCTGTGCTGCAGCTATGGAGATGTGGGTCCTCTTCCCTCACTCGGATGTCCTTTGTTCTGCTGGCGGATGTCTTTTTCTGTGCTCCTTCAGCCAGACCATAGACCATCGCCTTCTTCTTTATGTTTGAACTCTCTGTTTCACCACCCCCTTTCTGCAAACCGACCGGACTATAGGTCTTTGGTGCCAACCCCGCCGGCCTAAAGGGCCTCCCTTGGGCTCCCCTACCGCTCGGTAGGCCCGAGCTGCCGGAGTTCCCGGCGCTCGAGGGCTCGTTGTGCGCCACGCTCTTGGTGCACAAGGCGTCGGAGTGTCGAGCGAATGCAACGGTCGGTTCGAGTATTGGATGAATCGCCCTGAAGAGACCGAAATGAGGCTCATGAAATGGTCTACATGACATGGGGTTTGTACCTTGCGGAATTGGTGAAGACTTTTTGTTTGACCCAAACTGGGTCTTTCACCCCCAAACCTTTCGGAAGATGTTCTTCTCACAGCACCCCGGCTGACTGATATACTCAAGCCGTACGCAAATCCAAGCTACTAGTAACAAGATTAACAAGTGCATTACTACTAGTAGCTAGAAGTCTATAAGCTACTAGCAACACAGGCATAGACCCAACACCTCGCGGTTTTTGTCGCGGTTCCTTATTGGTTGACCCAACACCTCGCCCGATGGACCTGACCGACCCATGCGGATGTAATGTATGGGATGGATGGATCAGAGCACCTGTGGAGACCGGTTCTTATGTAATCTGTGGATGGATGGATGTATTGTAACCTATGGATGGATACTTGATGGATGGATGTATTGTACAGCCAGTTCTTCTTTTGAGAAATGATGTCATGCAGAGCTCACTGGAATGCAAGATGTATGGTGCTGTTCCGCTGGTGAGTGATCGCCCATCGCCGTTCGGAGCATTGAACAGCTTCTCAGCATGACCCAATTCAACCCAATGCCACGTAAAACAACACCTCCACTTGGGAGGCAGGATGATAAAGACATGTTTTGACCATTGGGCCCACTGGGCACTACTTTGATGCTTTCATCATGGCCTGTGAACATGGCGAATCATCTCGACCATGGTAAATCCATCCGCTTCAGACGTTCCCTCTTCCGTGCCATGGGGACAGAGGAGCTGCTGATGGTCACTACCTTGCTGCTCTTGTGCGCATCGGTGCATTTCTCTTTGACCCAAAGTGACTGGGGAGATTTGCGAGCATGGATCAGCTCGGCGACGTGGCGGCAGAGACGGGTCTTTCAAACGCTCCTGCAGCAACGAGGTGAAAAAACTTTCTTTTCCATCCGAATCTTCCAACGACGCAACAAGTGATGCCTAACTTGGCGGGTTTTTCCCGAATGCGTAGCGAAGGGTTCCCGTTTATAGTTGGGGGTCTGGGGGTTGGAGCTATGTTTGCGTGGCGTGCGTCGTCTCGTCGTCTGTCGTCGTCTCTCGTCGTCTCTCGTCGTTTGTCGTCGTTTGTCGTCGTCGTGGCGTATCAAATTCGCTGCCATTGGGGGAAGCTTTTGCAAGTGACTGTTCATGGATGTGTCACGTGCCAGTTTGCACCGCTATTCCATTGTGATTTGCATGACCATGACATGTCGCGCAAGAAACGTGATGCAATTCGCTGCACAGGCAGATCCGCAGTTTGCTGCGCAATTCCATTGGGATTAGCGTTTGGAGAGTCGTGTTTTTGGGGTGTTGGATGTGGCCGTGCCATTGGGATTTGCGTTGCAGGGTGTGGCATCGAAGCTCTGTTTTCGTGACAAGTCTCAGCTGAAATGGCGATTTTGGTGGATGGGAGTGTGCCCAGAACGGGTCGAAATCATGTGGTGCAAATTTTGTTGAAGCTCACATGAGATGATATTGTTACTTTTCGTGGCAGGCGCAGTACTTTGTGCGGGTTTTGAGGTGTGGAAGTGTGATTTTCGTGGCAGGCGCAGGGAGTCGTGAGGCTGCGAGGTGTGACGGAGGTGACATTTCGTGGCAGGCGCCAGTACTTTGTGCGCGTTAGACGTGTGGACGCGGAAAGATTCGTGGCAGGCGCAGGGAATCGTGAGGTTGTGAGTTGTGGTAGAGGTGAATGTCGCTGTCACATTGGGATTGTCGTGGGAGCGGGTGTTGTTTGGAGGGGCTGGAATCGCGAAACTGCTTGGCAGGGCTGCGTGATGTGTGTGCTCGGCTGGGTGTTTCCGCTTGACTTTTGGAGGAAGTCTCGTACGAAACGCTCGTTTTGCAGATTTTGACATGTGAGTTTTTGAGGAAGTCTCGTACGAAACGCTCGTTTTGGAGACTTTTGGAGACTTGACGTGTGACTTTTGGAGGAAGTCTCCTACGAAACGCTCGTTTTGGAGACTTGACATGTGACTTTTCGAGGAAGTCTTGTGCGAAACGCTCGTTTTGGAGACTTGACGTGTGTCCTACAAGAGTGTCCCACAGAGTGTCCCGCAACAGTGTCCCACAAGAGTGTCTCACAAGAGTGTCCCTTAAGAGTGTCCTACAAGAGTATCTCACAAGAGTTTCCCACAAGAGAGTCCCAGAAGAGTGTCCCACAAGAGTGTCCCACAAGAGTGTCCTACAGTGTCCCACAAGAGTGTCCCACAAGAGTGTCCCATAAGAGTGTCCCACAAGTGTGTCCTACAAGAGTGTCCCACAAGAGTTTCCTACAAGAGTGTCCCACAAGAGTGTCCCACAAGTGTGTCCCGCAAGAGTGTCCTACAAGAGTGTCCTACAAGAGTGTCCCGCAAGAGTGTCCCATAAGAGTGACCCACAAGAGTGTCCTATAAGAGTGCCCCACAAGAGTGTCCTACAAGAGTGTCCCACAAGAGTGTCCCACAAGAGTGTCCTATAAGAGTGTCCCACAAGAGTGTCCTACAAGAGTGTCCCACAAGAGTTTCCTACAAGAGTGTCACACAAGAGGGTCCCACAAGAGTGTCCCACAAGAGTGTCCTAGAAGAGTGTCCTACAAGAGTGTCCCACAAGAGTGTCCCACAAGATCTAGAGTGTCCCAGAAGAGTGTCCCGCAAGAGTGTCCTACAAGAGTGTCTCACAAGTGTGTCCCACAAGAGCTTCCTACAAGAGTGACCCACAAGAGTGTCGTGTAAGAGTGACCCACAAGAGTGTCCCAGAAGAGTGTCTCACAAGAGTGTCCTACAAGAGTGTCATTTGGACATATGTAGGTTTTTGAACGTGTTTGCATTCGGGTTCGTGGGTTCCATCTTGCTTAGATGAAAAGGCCGACATTTTGCACAGTTGGAAGATCCAGGTGTATATATGATACTATACAGCATAAGTGATGGCGTATCCTTTATCTCAGCTGGTGCAGAGGGTTTCCAAAAGTGACCCCAAGAAGAACTGGGACGTTTCATCCGACCTGCTTTCGATCTACTGTATCAAGTCCACAAACTGGCCTCGAACAAGCGCGTGCCAGGTGATGCATCTGTCTTCACGGGATGTGGCCAAACAAGCTCGGGTCGAGGAGGAGATGGTGAAGCTTCGGCAAAGGACCTACATCTCCATCAGCTGTTCCCTGGAAAGTGGAAAACGCAACAGTCACAAGTAGATGCAATGTATGAACCTTTTGATTTGCCAAACTTCTTGTTGGCAACTTCTTTGGCTCAGATGGTTTCAATTGAAGGCAACAGGTTAGGAAATATATCCAAAAACCTGATGTTTCTTTGATGCAGCTATAATATAGCATTGCAAGAAATCCAAGACAGCTTGCTGCAAATGGTCACCATTTGTGCAAGCAAAACCTGCATGACGGATGGGGGCTGACGGTTTACCGCCACTGATTGTTTGATATAGTTTTAACATGTTTTAAAAACTGAATAGTTTCTACTCAGCTTCCTGAAGCAACTACAATGCAATGTATTTGAGGATGTGGAGGATTTAGTTTATATAAAGTTATCCCTTTGGGGAGGTGCTGCCGGATAAGTAATGTTCAAAATGATCATGGCATTCAATCAATCTTCAGAAGAAAGGCTACTCGACTCATCTGGAGTTCGGTGTGGGCTGCTTCTTCCTTTGGGAGGCCTTTGCGAACCCTGGCTTTGAGACCATCGCGCTGGTGATTGCTTGTTGTTTGTGCTATTTGCAGCACCTCATGGTAGCGAAGGATTTGATACAGCTCAGCCCTCAACGGATGACGTTTGTGAGCTGCTTGCTATACTCCCTTGGGTTGCTTACGGTCGTCTTACCAGCTCGAGCTGGGAGCTCCTTCAAGTTCAGCCTGTGGCAGAGTTTCGTTACTGCAATCCGCTTTTGCTTGGTCTTTTGTTGTTTGGATCCACAAATCTCAATCCCATTCCAAGTGCTGTACACTGCAGTGGGCATGCTCGCCTATTTCTTTGCTTTCGATGAGTCTCGCACTGAACTTGGACCATTATTCTACACCCAAGTCTTCGTTTTGATTCTTGGAAATGCAAGCAAAGCAGGCTTTGGTTCGCTTTGAGGGCAGTCGCCCTGTAGGGAATCCAGAAATACCAAGAGCGATTGAATAATGACCAAACACGTGACCCAAACTTGGACTTGATGGGATAAGGCGATTCAATTTCTAGTCTGTACAAGATATTGTTTTGAGATGCAAAGAACCCAAGGATTCAAACCATCGCTTACTCCATCATCATCGACATGGCACTACGCGGCCGCATCTATGCCAAGCTAGACACAGCAGATGCAGAGTCTTTGGTGTCTAGCTTCCGCAGGGTCTTGAGAGGGGCATGTGACGGTGAAGTGCTATTGGATAGCCAGATGAATGTGGTACAGGAAAGTGACTGGCCCTGACTGGCTGGTGGTTCGGATTATTTTTCGGCAATTTGGAAACAGTTCTTGGAAAACATGCGCGGGTCCTTAGAAAATAATCCTGGGTACCATGGGGGCTACTGGATTCATTTTGTTGGATCAATTGCACAGGGTTAATATTCTTGGGGGGTGGGGTAGGGGGTAAACCCCTGCATTTGTCGGATTAATATTTGATTGCTGACTAGAACATGCTGTGCTAGAAATTAATCTGGTAGTATGTAACATGTAATTAACGCGCCAAGTAAATTAGAATTTTTACACATTTAACCATGTATTACAATTGGTTGTCTCATCTTTGGATGTTTTTTGTTTTACGTTTACTCTTTCAGACATTAACCTGGCAGTATCTAACATGTCAAGTTTCTTTATTCCAGCCCTTGCCCTGATGTCAACAACCTGCAGAATAAGTAATTTCAACATGTTTATTTGTCTTTGCCGTCCCTCTGATTTTGAAGGGTTCTGAATGGTTTGGTATCCAGTCGAAACATGTCCAAATTTATTCAAGATACTTGATTCTGCGCCTGCTTAAGGATAGCTACCACTTTTCCCTCTGTTTGTTAATCCAACATCTCAACACATCTTGATTATTATCTTTATTTGATGTATATGGTAGTATGCGGAATATTGGTAGTATGCGGATTAGCTTAAAACTAATCTGGGGGGTATGTTACATGGGTATACTGCTAAGGGCCCCAACATCAGTTGAACCAATCCCCCCATCAGGCGAGTGCCTGAAGCACCTGATCTTGACGGATGTGAGTCTGAAGGGCAGATCGTTTGAACACTTGTTGGCAGATGGTGAGCGGCCGCGCTTCCGCGAGTTCATTGAGGCTTCGACAAACGCCTTTGGTGCTGAACTCTCAGCACCTCCTTTTTGCTCCCGCGTGTCGTTTCGTGGGTCCGCTGGAATTGGAGTGGCTGCGGATGTTTACCATGTGCCGGTGCCAGGGCTCTTTGGCGCCAATGAGCCCTACCACCTTGTCGCCTTCAAAGAAGATCCTGAATCAAGGCCCCATCCTGAAGCCTCAGTCGATGCAGTGCCTGCAGAGCTTCTGCCTACGACAGGAGTCCAAGGACCTCTACAACATGCCACCTCTCATTCCAGAATGTCTGGAGGAACATCTGCTACGCAAACCTCTGAAAGTTCTGGCCACAGTTCATGTGCTCACATTTGTCCTGAGTTGCACGAAATGACGTTGTTGTTGGATGTGGAGACGGAGTTTCAGGATATTCAACAAGCACATTTAAAATTCGAGCGGAAGGATGAGGCCAGCAAGCTCCGAGTTTGTTTAATCAATTTTCGTGGCTGGCCATGGAATGGCTCCTTGCCCTTCCCAAGAAGGTGTATTCCACACACACATACATCCATTTGCAAATAGAGTTTTCTTGTTTGTAAAGGTTTTTATCTCTTCTAATTGTCCTTCCGACCCTCCATCCACCCCTTCAGGCTGAGTCGGATCTGGCTCATGCCCACGGGCGCGGGCAGGGGAGCGAGAGCTCCATGCCAAGCCTTCGAAGTTTGGTGAAACCCACGGACTGGGAGAAGCTGCGGAGTGTGGTGCGGAACTTTGTGGAGCTGGCCTTGGTGAATCCAAATCTCGAGCCGAAGCTGATTCACAAGATGACTGTGAAACTTCCAGGTGTGGGAATTCTGAGAATAACTCCGGGAACTTGATATGTTGGCAAGAATAATAGTTCAAAGTTCAGATGATGAGAGTATACTTGGCGTCTTCGGAATTTTCTCAGCCACTCCCCAGGTCAACGTGGATGGCTCATGGTCGAGGAAGCCACTTTGCACCGCATTTCGGGTGGTACTCGACTTGCTTGGTTACTCTTGAAAGGCTTCCGAAACTTGGCACCTGAACTCCATGTCGTGTGTGGAATGCTATAGGCCCGATCGGCCCGCTTGGCCCACCGGCATGTCTGGATTGAATGCTATAGGCGGATGCATGATTATGTAAGTTATTCCATGTGATTCCCCCAAGCAGTGTGGTTTACTACCGACCTTTTCAGTCTTTGTTTTTTCCAACACACCTCGGTCGGACCGTCTAGACCTTCGGTCGGCCAACACGATGATACACATTGACATAGCACGTCGACCGGGGGTCGGTCGGGTGGTGCTTGCTTGCGATCGACCGATGTGATGGATCTTCTGCGACGGGGCAGAGGACGGTGGTCCAACTACGCCAAGAAGTCTTCCAAGACCTGGTCTACATGGTTGACCATGCTTGACCTGGTAGACGTAAATCCTTAAGTCAATCGAACTCGGGAGAAAACTGGTGATCGAGTTCGGAACAACGTGACCGGGCTGATGGCTGACCAATTGGTCTCAAACACAAACTATCATTCAAAACAGAATTCACGAGCTTTTTCTTTTTTCGTTTTTCCCAACTGACGGGATGCAAATTCTGTTGTGAATTGAACGATCTGGGATTTTTGAAAAGGGGAACCAAGAGCGGAAGATGAGATCGGATGCTGGCCAGATATGGCAAGAGTCAATCAGCTCCAGATTCCGAGATCGGAGGACCATCGGGTGTCCCCTCAAAAACCTTCACCGAACTGAGGGTTCTTGATTCCTTTAGGACCTGAAAAGCCTCGGCGCTATCCCTCCTTGGATGGCATCTCCGAGGGCCTCCGCGGGCGGCGCACCGGCCGGTCTCCGGCGCAGGGCGTGGATGTCCAAAACAGGGGGCTTTGCTGTGGGGGTGGGTCATGCTTGGGACACAGCGTCAGGGCTTGCCTTCACTCAGACTCGTTGCCGTGCCTTCGTCGACTTGGTCGGAATAGGTCATGATGGATGCCTGGCCCACCATTGATCTAATCGGCGACGTCATCCCGAAGCACCATTGTTTTCGAAGGCTAAAGGGTTTTACGCTACAAATCCAGGTCAACCTGTCTCTTTATGGTCGAGTCGAAGGGAAGCCTGTAGGCCATATGTTTTGCATTTTTCCGTTTTCAAACAAGGTTTGATGCCGAAAGGAACCCAGATGACTTGGTGCGACTTCAGCGTCTTGAAGCACATCCTCAGGCTTTGTGGCACGAAAAAGGCCACTCTTTCCAACACCTGTGGCCATTATGTAGCTGCATTTACTCACGACAGCTGTATTCGTTTCTCCGGGGTCTACTTCATTCTTTTCCCTACACTGTCCATCATGACTGTTGCCGCCGGATGCCGCCGGTTGCCGCCTGGATAGTCTTTGGTTTGTGAGATGAGGTACAATTTTAGTATCAACCAGCTTAAGCACTTCGCAGATACATTCCCCTTCAAAGGAATGATTGGAGAAACAGGCACATCCAGCCTTTTCGATATGTGTACATGTGACAGGCCGCTACTTTTGGTGGTTTCACTTGTTTCACGCCACGGGCACAACGTTTCACCCCATGGGCACCGAAGAGTTCATGGTCATCGGCTCGCTGCTCTCATGTGCAGTCTTGGTGCATCTTTATTTGACCAAAACCGACTGGGGAGATTTGCGTGCATGGATCAGCTCTGTGACTTGGAACAAAATGAAACGAACCGGTCCAAGACAGAACCGCGCCACCCTGAGATACGAACCGGTCTGTGCAGCTCTAGCGGCGTATCCTGAAAATCTCAGTTGGTGCAGGCTTTGGTCATTTTTCGTCCAGTACAGGGACGCAACAAAACATAGATCAGGTTCCGAGACCAAAGTAACCCTCCTTCTTTTCACACCTTTCATTTCATCCTTTCGCTTCTCTTCGATTTCTTCAGGTGATGCATCCATCTCCGCGGGATGTGGCCAAGGAAACTCGGGTGGAGGAGGAGATGGTGAAGCTTCGGCAAAGCAACTACATCTCCTTCAGCCGTTCCCCGGTTTTGTCCTGGGAAATTGGACCATTGGCCGACTGTGGAACCTTTTAGGATTTGCCAAACACTTTGGGAACTGAATTAATATGTTTTAGTTGAAGACAACATCCAGGGTAGCAAGTCACCCAGAAGAATCCTGATGTGCCTTTGATGCATGAGAGCACGTAAGCTTCTGGTCGTTTGATTGAAAGGCCGAGCAGATTGTTCTACTCACAGAGTTCAGCTTGGTGAATCAATCGCAACAGAGGGATGGATTTCAGAACGGCCTGGTTGACGGTTTATGTTTATGGGTCACTTTTGGTAGGAGAGTAAAACCTGTTCATCGCTTTCAAACGGAGCAAGAAAGGCTACTCGACTCATCTGGAGTTCGGCGTGGGCTGCTTCTTCCTTTGGGAGGCCTTTGCGACCAGTGGCTTTGAGACCATCATGCTACTGATTGCTTGCTGTTTGTCCTATTTACAGCATCTTATGGTGGCGAAGGATCTCATACAGCTCACTCCGCAACGAATCAAGATTGTGAACTACTGGCTACACTCCGTTTCAACGCTTGGCGCCGTCTTACCAGCTCGAGCTGGGAGCTCCTTCAAGTTCGGCCTGTGGCAGAGTTTCCTTACTGCAATGCGCTTTTGCTTGGTCTTGTGTTGTCTAGATCCCCAGATCTCAATCCCATTCCAAGTGCTCTACACTGCAGTGGGCATGCTCACCTATTTCTTTGCTTTCGATGAGTCTCGCACTGAACTTGGACCCTTATTCTACACCCAAGTCTTTGTTTTGATTCTTGGACTTGCAAGCAAAGCAGGCTTTGGTTCCCTTCAAGGGCAGTCGCCCTGTAGGGAATCCGGAATACCAAGAGAGATTGAATAATGACCAAACACGTGACCCAAACTTGGATGGGATAAGGACGGATAAGGCGATTCAATTTCTGGTCGGCACAATATATTGCAAAGAATCCAAGGATTCAAACCATCGCTTTCTCCATCATCATCGACATGGCACTGCGCGGCCGCATCTATGCCAAGCTAGACACAGCAGATGCAGAGTCTTTGGTGTCTAGCTTCCGCAGAGTCTTGAGAGGGGCATGTGACGGTGAAGTGCTATTGGATAGCCAGATGAATGTGGCACAGGAAAGTGACTGGCCCAGAAATCGGCTCTTCCTTTTTGTTCTTTCGGAATAGTTCCTAACGGCAGCAAAATGACATACGGTTGGTTTTCAATCTCTGGGGCAGGAGTGGTGCACAGGACGCTACTGGTACTAGGAACAAAGGGCATCGCTACTAGAAACAAGGACGCTACTGGAGCTTTTTCGCGCGCGCGAAGCGAAGTGACTTTGGATGCGAATGACGCTGTGACTTGAAGTCCACCTGGAAAGCTCGGAAGGTAGCGTCCGATTGCTCCTAGTAAGCCCTGGGTGCTGGGTGCCGTCACTGAACATCGAATCACGCTGCCCTGGGGTTCCTTTGCATCGGACCACTGCGTGCGTCGGGTGTTGCTTGCCTCGGGGCGGGGGCAGGGCATGGTCTCAAAGTCACAGCGCCAGATGGTGCAACGAGGTGTCCAGCATTTCTCATGTGTGGCCCTTTCATTTCCCTCCACTTTTCCGTTGATTCCGAACGGGTTGCAATCTGCTACGCAGAAGTGGTCTGCACCTCAAGTTGGAACTCCGGAAGCTCCGGAATGAACGGCTTTGAGCCCTGGAAACCGCAGTTGCAGACCTGATCGGGCTGAACCGTGGCAGCGTGTTGTGATCGGACTTCCACCGGTTTCGTCTCCCGGATGGTGCTTGGAACCCGTGCTGAAGCATCGGGCGAGCGTAGACGTGCGGTGTTTGGACTTTTGTCCAGTGTGATCGGATGGATGCGCGTTGTAAGCCTGGATGACTTCCCACCTTCGAACCCTTGCGTGCTGTGTGGAGCCCTGTTTGGTACCGTGTGTGATGTGACGACCTTGGAATCTGGGTTCTGGGCACAGCAAGGGCGTGCTTTTGTTCGGTGCTGCGATCGGACCTCCACCGGGAGCTAGTCCAGGAGCTAGTCTAGGCCGCGTGATTGGCGTTTGACCTTGAAACCCTGGGTGCTGTTGGGTGGGTTGCTGCGATCGGCCTTGGGTGGCGTTGGTTCCAGCTGCAGCCGAGAGCGCCAGGGGCAGCTCTTTTCAGCGTGGGCGGGGCGCCATTCATAGTCTTCCGGGAAAGCGGGCTGATTGCCGAGACCTCACCGCGCGGCAGGCTGACTGCAGCAGCTCGTTGGCTTGATGGCCATGTTGTGGTTTTAGTGTAGGATGAACTGTGTGTTCGCGGCAGTAACTCTGCGCATCATGTCTGCACCACACAAAGCGTTCCTGGCGCGCACTCATGTTGCATTTGCAGTCCCTATCTTTCTACGCAGCGCAAAACAGGTTGTATGCGCAGCAAGGCAAGCGAGCAGTTGCACGCAGCAAGGCAAGCGGGACGTGTCTGCACAAAAGAACCACATGTGCTGTACCTTCTGCCTCCGTTGCGGTGCAAATCTGGGGTGAGTCAGAGGATATGAACAGAACGGACTTACTAAGGGGGTCAACATACCCTGGTTTGGGGATCCGGGTTTTGACCCACAGCCATGTTACATAGTTTTCTTGCTCACCAGCTCCCTGCAACACATAGACCCTGGAAGATTAGCATGGAACCTGAGAACCATTGGGCTGTACAGGAACATCGTCTTCCAAAGGTCCATTTTCAGGTTCCATGTGGGTCTCTTCCTGGGTGTATTTGGAGTGTTGGAAAACGCCAGTCATTTGAATTGCTGCCTGCTGCTGGGTTCTGTCTTCCCAGCTCCCTCTGGATTCGGAAAAAGCATTTGGACTTGGTTTGGGAACCTTGGCAGCCTTAGCAAACACAAAGCGCATAGTTGGAGGGTTCCAGTAACAACTGAGTTGCTACCTGCTGTTGGGTTGTAAGGTGCGTTTGTTCTTCACCTACTTGAAAAAATAACTGAAAACACTGTTTTTTTCTGGTTGCCCCACCAGGCGAGTGCCTGAAGCACCTGATCTTGACGGATGTGAGTCTGAAGGGCAGATCGTTTGAAAACTTG